CCACAACAGCCAAGTCTGGGCCAGGCCAAAGCCAGGAGCCAGGACAGGTCTCCCATGTGGGTGGCAGGGCCCAACCCTAGGAGCCACCAGCAGCTGCCTCCCCGGCTGTGCAGGGGCAGGAAGCCGGATGGGAAGCAGAGCCAGGACTTGAACCAGGCACTCTCGTCGGAAACTTAGGCGTCCCAGGTGGTGACTTAACAGGGCCCCAAGCCTGGCCCCATGATTTTACGTGTACCTGTAAGTATTATTTAAAAGCAGGAAACTTCAAGGAAGAGGGTCCACGTCGCTCGGCTGCAGCATGACTCACTGCTGGGATCCCCAGATGTGCTCGTGAAAAGTAGGTGGCAAGCGTGTGACCCGTTTCGCCATCTCCTGTACAGTCATCGTCACGCCTGAACGCTTCCGGTGAGAGCCACGCTGCACTGCAGACCGGCGTTGCCCTCTGGGTGACAGCTGGGATGCACCCTGACTTGGAAATCACCGTGTGGGCAGGTTCCACCAGCTATGAAGACAGCGTTCCCAGAGCGCATCTTCTACGAGACGAAGACTGTCATGGAGCTCAGGATGACAGTGCCGGGGAAAGGAGACCAACGGGGGTGCATGCTGGACCCACCACAGCCCCATCTTCAAAGGCGAGAGGGGCTTCAGCGTCCCCCGCCCCGCCCCGTGGCCATGCGAGGAGAACTGGCCAGGTTTTTGTTCCCTGAGAGGCTTGCTTCTGTGAGGAGCTTTGCAAACCAAATTCCAGCCTCCCAGCGGGGAGAGCGAGCTGGGTGATGGTGCTCCTGGCCACCACTGGGGAGACCCTCGAGGCAGGGCAGCTGCTTCTGTCTCTGCACTCAGCGCCTGGCACAGTGGATGGCGGGCGGGTGGGCTGGAGGGGGCTGACACACGTGCATCACGCAAGCCTGAGCATGACAGAAGTGTCTACTGCAGCAGACGGGGACACCTCCTCCCCTGCGGGCAGTCAGAGTTGCAAGTCGGTGGGGCATGGGCCCGGAGCGCTCAGTGTGGGCCCGGCTAGATGCACAGGTGAGCCCCCTCCAGGCACCCCAGAGTGGACGTGGCTGGACGGGCCAGCGAGCCCACACTGATTTCTCTGGTTGAACATTCCCCATCCCTCCCATCCCTCCCACCCCGCCCTGGAAGTCCAGTGTGCTGGCGTGACTGTTAGCCGTGACCATGGGTTTCCTTACACCAGACGCCGTGAACCATGTACCTGGCAGGTGTGTGCGGCAGGGTGGGGCGCGGGCTCACGAGCGTGTGACAAACTTCGGCGCATTTATTAAGCGTATGAAAGGAGGCCTGAGTCCCATCACTGCTCGGGAAGCCACTTGACCGTGTGAGCAGGTGTCGCACCGGCACGGCTCTGAAGGAGCCCGAGGCAAGAACATGGGGATGGGCAAGGAGAGGGACACGCACCTTCAGGTCTGCTTGTCTGCTTCGTGGCTGTGTATTTCCCTCCCAGACCTGCTTCCACAGTGCAGCGGGGAACAAGAGCTGCTACTGGGGCATGAGGGACCAACAGTGGGCAAGCAGAGCAGGAGGAAGCAGTGCCGGTGCCACCTGCAGTCCAGGACGAGTGAGAACTGGAAGGATGGAGTCAGGGTGCAGGCTTAGGCTAGGAGGCATAGGCCAGGGAGGGCCGTTCTGTGCACGTGACCCCTGGACTGGCTCCTGGATCCTGCAAAGGCCCTGGGGCAGGAGATGGCATTGACAGAGCCGCCAAGACTCCAGGGCTTAGTGACTGGCCAGAGAGGCCTCAGGTGCCAGTCAGATCTGGCAGGGCCAGGCCTCCTAGGGTCCTGTGGGCCACCATAAGAAGGTCGGATTTCATTCCAAGGGGAAGGAGTTGCTCTCGTTGGGTTTCAAATGTTCTCTCTGTGGCTACAGCGAAGCGGTGATAAAGGGACAAAGGTCGAAGCGTGGAGACCAGACAGAGAGGAGCAGTGAACAACCGCGATGTCTCCAGGAGGTCGAGCCTGCAGGACGTGGCGGTGGGGTGATGGGGAATCCAGGAGGGCACCCACAGGTATGCGTGGTCACGGCCACGGGAGCTGGCAGCAGAAGGGGCTGTCTTCTCCAGGGGCAACACCCTCATCTGAGCGGTCGGAAAGAGAACCCAGAGGCGGGCCAAGGGAGAGAAGAGAGAGCACAGTTCCTGTCTTGCGGTAAAATCCCTTTCCTGGAGCCGGCGAGGAGACGCCAGCTGCGGACCCGTGGGACGTGCACGCCACCTGCTGGCCACTTCTTAGCATTGTCCAGCGCGCCCCGACAGCAGGAAGACGTTTCTAGGTGACCCAGAGCACAGACAGCCCTGGACACACTATGCTTAGACGAGATGCTCAGCTTCAGGGTGGTGTGAAAGCAGGAACACATTCGGCGGAACCCACGCTTGACGTTTGAATCTGGACCTTTCCCAAGCCAACAACACGCGGGCCGAACCCCTCCTACGCCAGGCAGACAACCGGCGAGGCCCTGCGCTGTGCAGCACGGCTGAGCTGGGGCGTTCCGGCTTCGCGCATTTTCAGAGTAACTCGGTCCTAAGTCGAGGAGCTGGGAGTGAAGTGCCACGGAAACACCACGGACACAAGGGCCAGGGCTGACCTGAAACCAGAGACGCCGTGGGCGTGGCAGGAGCGTGGGCCGAGCCTGGCTTTGGAGCAGAGAGCCAGCTGGACTGGAATTCCCTCTTGCTGGAGTGGCTGGTGCTCTCCCAGTCTAGACGGTACAGCAGCGTGTCCAGTGAAATTTCTGCAGCAGCCTCCAGCCACGCGTGGCTGCTGAACGGTGGAAATGCGGCTGGCACGACTAAGTTTAAGCTCAAACCATTCACCCCTGGCTAGGGGCTTCTATGACAAAACACAGTTCCAAGGACTCACTTCCTCACCTGTGCAGCGGGGATGAGAACGCCACCTACAGTCTGCGAGCGACCACCTGGGAAAACAGCTCGCACCACCCACAGCTTGTACTAGGGAGCCAAGAAACGGGTGCTGGGGTCCACACACGCTCCCCCTGCCCAGAATTGTTCATTACGCGTCTGCTGTGAGTGCAAAAGGGAAGACAGAGGAGACGCGGGGGCCTGGCGTGCTCCCTGCTTGCCGAGAGGGAAAGTCAAAGGCAGAGCGAGCTGGTGGGGATCGCGGCTCCGTCCCGGAAGCCACCCGCAAGCAGAGTGGAATCAACGAGCCCAGGCCCGGCAGGTGCTCACAAACCCTCGGATTGGTGAACTGGACCCTACGCTCCGCTTCACCCCTGCGAGGGTGACTGTGTGTCTTGCCAGGGGGCAGGAAAGGCCGGTCTGCTCTCTGCCCTCCGCGCCTTCCCCAGGAAGCTGCCTCCTGCTCTGAGACAGCCACAGGACACCAGGCGGTCAGACCCAGCGCTCCGTGAGTTTCTCACATAGTGCCCCGAGGGGCTGTGGAGCAAACAAAAAGCAGCCAGAGCGCACAGCACGGGGGACACCAGAGTGCTGCTTTTTTTTTTTTTTTTTTTTTTAGATTTTGTGTATTTATTTGAGAGGCAGAGTTACAGAGAGGGAGAGCCAGGGAGAAAGGTCTTCCATCTGCTGGTTCGTTCCCCAAATGACTGCAATGGCTGGAGCTGGGCTGATCCATAGCTGGGAGCCAGGACTTCTTCCAGGTCTCCCATGCAGGTGCAGGGCCCAAGCACTGGGCCATCTTCCACTGCTCAGGGGAGAGCTGGATTCGAAGAGGGGCAGCCGGGATTCGATGGATGCCCATGTCGGATGCCAGCACCACAGGCGGAGGCCTCACCTACTACGCCGTAGCGCTGCCCCGCCCCAGCAACTGCCCCGTATGAGAGTATCATCACTGTGGGAGGGATGAGGGGGTCAGCTGGGCACAGCACTGTCTCGGGCAGATCTGAGAAGGCTGAGAAACCCGGAATACTAAGTTCTGCCTTGAATGGCTGCCTTTAAGGGCTGAAGTTCCTGAATAAATAACGCAGGTCTCTCCTCCTCCTAACTCCTCTCCCTAGCAGTGGGGTTGTAGAGAACAGAGCAGGAGCAACGGAAAGCCAGGAAAGGCCAGGCACCTCAAACGCTGGGCAGGGTGGAGGGGACATGCCCGGAGCGTCCACGCTGCCCGTCCACGCTGCCTTGCCTGGTGGCAGTGGGAATGGTGGCCTCGCGTCTGCCTTTCAGACAGGAGCATCTTGAGATTTAGGGGCAGGAGATGGCATTGACAGAGCCACCAAGACTCCAGGGCTTAGTGACTGGCCCCCTGCTCCTATCCGGTTCCTTCCCTGTCCACCAGCTCAGGCACAAACCAGGGCACGGCCGAAGCCCCTACTCCACCCCCTCCATACCCGGACCCACCCCTCAGGCCTGTGCTCCGGACACTAGGAAGAACAGGAGACCCCAGAAGAGGGAGAGAGGTGAGTGCCGCGTTGGAAGGAGCGCGTGGGCGGAGGGTCCACCGTGTCCCTTTAGGACATCAGGAAGAACCTGCAGCACCGCGCCATGGAGACCACGTCTGCCCTGACGTGAAAGAGGAGACCCATTCCAGGGGAGATCCGCGGCACAGAAGGCAAGCAGAGGGAGAGGCCGGGGTGCGCAGACGGGAGATGGATTTAGGCTTCGCGGGAAGAACGTGCAGAGGTGCTGCGCCTGCGTGACAGCTGCCTGCCCTGAGTGTGTGCGTGCACGTGTGCGAGTATGCATGCGTGTGTCCGCATGTGCACGTGTGTGGTGGGCACGCCTGTGTTTGCACACGCGTGTGTATGTGTGCATACATGTGTGGGCGTGCACGTATGCAGTGCCCACGCCTATGTGTTCACACGCGCGTGTGTGCTTGTGTGTGCATACGTGTGTGGGTGTGCACGTGTGCAGTGCCCACGCCTATGTGACCGCACGCGCGTGTGCTTGTGCATGTGTGCATACGTGTGGGGGTGTGTGCGCGGGCACTGCGAGTGCGTGTGTGCCGTGGGAGGCCTCTCCTGCGCTCAGCACATTTTCCTCCTGGTGGTCAGCCTAGAGTCAGCGCACAAGGGAAACACAAGACACCCTCTGCCGCACCCTGAAGAGTCCCCCGCCCCGCTTCCTCTTTGTGTGGGGAGGGGTCCATCCTCGCTTTGGGCGTGAGGGCGGGATCTGGAGACATTTTCTGGGTTGAGGCGATCGACTCTGACGTCAACACTTGGAAGTCAGGGCAGACGGGAGCACAGCGCGTGGAGAGGGCCTCCGGGCCGCGACTCCCGGCCATGCGCCTCTCCCGGGGGCGGCTCCGGCCCGACACTGCCGCGTTAGCCTTTCCGAACCTCGGCGTGTGGACAAAGGAGGGGGCGCCCCGGACTCGCGCCGGCGGCCGAGGACAGCCCCGACGGAAGCGGGGGCGGCTGGCGGCGGCGGACTCAGCAGAAATCGTCACGGGTGGGGAAGGAGCCGGCCAGGCAGGCGCGCAGGCGCTGGACCGGAAACCGGAAGCCGGCGTGGCGGCTCGGGGCAGGCGGACTTCCGGCCCCGCCCCGCCGGCTTAATTCGGGGCAGAACGTTCTCCCTGGTCCTGAGGCGTTCGCGTCGTCGTCTCCTTGGCAGCGGGGGGCTTCGCTGCCTGGCCGAGAGCCAGGTGGGGGACCCAGAGCACTCCCACCGCGCTCTGCCCCCGTGCGCCTTGGAGACCGCGGCTCCCGCCCATGGGCGCCGGGCGCGGCCGAGGCGAGGGACACTGCCCTCGCCCTCCCCGGGATCCTGTATCCAGCGGGGACCCTGGGTGTGGGCACCTGATGGAGCGTCGTCCTGGCCCCTCAGGCCCTCCCGCCTGGGCAGTGGCTGGGTGACGGCACTGTCAGTGTGGTGACGTCACCACACGGGTCGGGCGATGGCCGTTCTCTTTCCGCACCCATTCTACAGGCGGGGAAAGCAAGGCCCGCAGAAGGCGTACTGGCGGTCCCTGCTCTGGGCCGCTGCTTGTTGGTGGTGCCCGCTGCCCGTCTCCCAGCAGGCAGAAGAGGCGTTCCGAAGAGAGCCCCAACACTGGGGGGCGAGAGCTGGCCTCTGGGTCAGTTAGGGACGTGCTGGTCAATACCAGGATTGACCCCCAATTCTTTTTTTTTTTTTTTTATGTTTGTTTATTTGGAAGGCAGAGTTGAAAGAGGAGAGACAAAGAGATCTTCCATTGGCTGGTTCACTCCCCACATAGCCACAATGCCCAGGCAGGAGCCAGGAGCTTCCTCCGGGTCTCCCGTGTGGTTAAGGGGCCCCAGGGGCTTGGGCCATCAGCAGGACCAGAAGTGGAGCAGCTGAGACTCGAACCAGCGCCCATCTGGGATGCCGGCATTGCAGGCAGTGGCTTTACGCCCTGGGCCACAGTGCCAGCCCAGGCTCCCAATCTCGATGGTTCAGTGCAGTAGAAATGACTGTAGGAGTCCCCAGTTACCTAAGGAGAGGGGTTCCTGCACCAGCCCCACCCCATCCCCCGCGGATGCCAACTCTGAGGAAGCTCCAGTCCCTTCTGTAAAGGGCGTGATGTTTTCATAGAACCCATACCTGGCTGGCGCCGCGGCTCAACAGGCTAATCCTCCGCCTTGTGGCGCCGGCACACCGGGTTCTAGTCCCGGTCGGGGCGCCAGAGTCTGTCCCGGTTGGGTTGCCCCTCTTCCAGTCCAGCTCTCTGCTATGGCCCGGGAGTGCAGTGGAGGATGGCCCAAGTCCTTGGGCCCTGCACCCACATGGGAGACCAGGAGAAGCACCTGGCTCCTGGCTTCGGATCAGCGCGGTGCACCGGCCGCGGCGCGCCGGCCACGGTGGCCATTGGAGGGTGAACGGCAAAAAGGAAGACCTTTCTCTCTGTCTCTCTCTCTCACTGTCCACTCTGCCTGTCAAAAAAAAAAAAAAAAAGAACCCATACCCTCTGGCTTACAACAGTGGGAGATTTTCCAACTTTATGATGGTGCAGAAGCAATCCGCACTGCATAGGTGCCGAACTTTGTTTGACCTTTTCCAGGGCCAGCCCTGTGTGGTACGCTGCCTTCTCGCGGTGCTGAGTGGTGGTGGCTGGGCACGTCTCCCTGTCAGCCCCACGGCCGGTCGTGTGTTGCCTTCAGCATGACAGGTTGAGCGCTGTTACAAGGTGGCCTGTGTGTTAGGTGATTCCGTCCACTGCAGACCAGGGTGAGTATTCTGAGTGTGTTCAAGGTAAGCGAGGCTCCGCCACGTGTTCACTGGGTGAGGCGTAGTAAATCTTTTTTTAAAAAGATTTATTTATTTGTTTGAGAGGGTTACAGAAAGAGAGAGATCTGCCATCCACTAGTTCAGGCCCCAAATGACCATAATGACGAGAGCTGGGCCAGGCCAAAGCCAGGAGCTCCTTGTGGGTCCCCCACATAGGTGGTAGGGGCCCAAGTACCACTTAGGGCATCTTCTACTGCTTTCCCAGGTGCATCAGCAGGGAACTGGTTTGGAAGTGGAGCAGCTGGGACATGAACTGGTGCCCATATGGGATGCCAGTATTGTAGGCGGCAGCTTAACCTGCTATGTCATAATGGCAGCTCCTAAATGTATTCTCAGTTTATGACGTTTTGAACGTATGTTGGGTTTGTTGGATTGTAATCACATTGCATATACAGGAGCGTCTATACTTTAGTTTCTAGGTTACTTGTAATACTTAATGCAATGTAAATACATACTATGTGAAGAGTTGTTGGACCCTACTTCTTAGAGCAGGGGTGGGGAACATCCAGCCCGACGGTTGTATGAGGCCCACAGAGTCACTTGGTCTGGCCCCACCAAGTCAACCGTTGACAGGACTCAAGATTCAAAAAATTATGGGTGGATGATTTCTAAGTTGATAATTTTCTATTGCCCCCAAATGGTGTTAACAAATACTCAGTGGCTTTTGGCAGAAGAAAGATTCCCCACCCCTGAGCTAGGGAGTAATGACCAGAAAAAATGTGCATGTTTAGTAGAGAGGCAATTTTGAAAACAATTTTACTTTATTCATTTTCATTTTATATACAAATACATATATATACACATACAGAGAGAGAGAGAGAGTGAGAGAGAGAGAGAGATTCTCCATCCACTGGTTCACTCTCCAGTTGCCCGCAATAGCTGGTGCCAGGTCAGTCTGAAGTCAAAAACCCTGAACCCAACCCAGGTTCCCCGTGTGGGTGGCAAGGACTCAGTCCTGAACCGCCACCTGCTGCCCCCAGGGCGCACATCAGCAGGAAGCTGGGTTGGAAGCAGAACGGTGTGGGATGCAGGTAGCCCAGGTGGCTGCTCACCTGTTGGACCACATGGCACCCAGGTGCAGTGCTGCTTCCCCCTGTATTTCTGGTGCGTGGTTGGCTGTATGAGTGGGTGTGGCACCCCGGATCTGGACAGCGCCTGTGTCTGTCCTGCAGCACTCGGATGAGGCCGTGCCCACTGCAGTCCCATCAGTGCCTCCAGGTCCCAGACTTGTCTCCGATCATGGCTCTGCCATCGACTTCTGCATCCAGGGGAAGGGGAGAGGGGACATGGCACGGGCTCCCCTTCATGGCCTTGATCTGGGTATGACACAGTCACTTCTGCTCCCACTCCATTGGCCGCCGTGGGTCACATGGGCTTGCCTAGCCAAAGTGAGGAGGGATGTGTTCCCACCGTGGGCAGCTACTGCTCAGGATGCTGGGTCCTCACAGCTGCTCCTCAGCACTCAGCTACTCCTCAGTGGTCAGCTGCTCCTCAGAGTGCTATGTCCTCACAGCTGCTCCTCAGCACTCAGCTACTCCTCAGTGGTCAGCTGCTCCTCAGAGTGCTATGTCCTCACAGCTGCTCCTCAGCACTCAGCTACTCCTCAGTGCCATGTCCTCACAGATACTCTTCAGTGCTCAGCTACTCCTCAGTGATGTGTCCTCACGGCTTCTCCTCAGCACTCAGCTACTCCTCAGTGCTCAGCTACTCCTCAGTGATGTGTCCTCATGGCTTCTCCTCAGCACTCAGCTGCTCTTCTCTGCTGTGTCCTCACAGCTACTCCTCAGGGCTGCATCCTCTCATTTGTTCTTCAGTGCTGTGTTCTCACAGCTGCTCCTCAGCACTCAGCTACTCCGCAGTGCCACTTCCTCACAGCCACCTTCAGCGTGTAAGATGTTGGGGGCATTACTTGTCTCTACTGCAGCTTCAGTGACTTCTTGTTCCTTTCTACCCCGTGACTTTTAAGTTTTCATAATTCTGTTCCAGCTTGGCCGTGGCCCTGTGGGGGATGTACCAGCCCGAGGACGGCTGCGGGGGCACACCCTAGCCTGGCGTTATCAGCACTTGCAGGACGCCCCAGCCTTTTCTTAGGTCCTGGCTGGTATTGACCGCGTTCCCGCGGTGGGGAGGGGCTGCCGGGGCAGAAGCCGGAGGGCAGAGGGAGGTTCTCCAGCGCACGGTGTGTGAGCGACGTTCAGGAGAAGCCTCTCCGCCCGTGCCGGCCTCATCTGCACCTGCCGGCTGCATGATGAGGCTGTCCGTGCACAGAGCCAGCCTCTCTGGCCATCCCCGGGACGCCTCTGCCGCTGGCGCAGCCCAGAAGCGCGCTGTGGTGGTTCACGGCGCTGCCGAGGCACAGCGCCTCTGAACCGTGGGAGCCGCTTGCTCTGCAGGGCTCTGAAGTGCGCCGTGTGGACGCGGGTGATTTGTGAGTCCACATGGGTGCGGACTCCTCTCCCTCTCTCCCGTCTCATACTCAGTGTCTCTTGTTAAACCCCGAGAATTGCTGTGTGTCAGGACGTCACGCACCGTCTCTCCCACATGCGAGACCGTGCCGGCCCCTCCCTGGCGGGGCTCTCCCACACAGGTGGAAGCACACCCCCTTTCTTCCCAGTGCGGCTCTCTCGTACGTGTGAGGGGCCCCCGAGTTCTGTGTGCACGCCTGGGGACTGTCTGGTCCGAGTGAGTCACACTGCTTTTCCTGCTCTGTAACCGGAACCCTGACAGGGATAACACAGGCGGTGTTAAGGCATCTTGGGTGAGATGGAAGGGTGACGGGGAAGGGGAAGAAGCTGGTGCCCGTGTAAGCCAGTGTGTGTGTGTGAGATCAGCAGGAGGAGTTGGTGGCTGCCTCAGGCCCGCGTCTACACCCGGCCCTATGCCCTGAGCTGACCTTTGCAGCCGGCCCTGCCCACCCCATCCACGTCCCCCTGCCCAGGGCGAGTGCATGGGGTTGGGGTTCCTTGCCAGAGCCCAGACTTGTTCTGTGTCACCCAGACAGTGGTCAGCTTTGTGCAGAGCCTGGAGCTCGTGAGAGTTGTGACAGGCCCACACTGCTTGGAGCTGCTGAAAGGCCCCTGCAGGAGAACCACTGCAGAGAAACCCGGCCCTTGGGAGCGCTGTGTGTTGTCCCTCGGAGATGAGTCGCCCCTCTCCGGCAAGTGGGTTTTGATATGTTGCGGACCTCAGAGGAGACCGAATGCCCCCCTCCCCCGCCGTAGCCCTGTTCCCACGACGCCTGAGCTGTCCACCGCGAGCGGGCGCAGAGCTCCCTTGTGCTTCGTTGGTTGTGAGATAGCAGCACAGAACACCTGGGCTGCCAGACCAGACGATGTCGTCACAGAGATTTCTGCAAAGCTTTTAGGGAGACCTGAGATACGGTCCTCACGGGCATGGCCAGGTGACTGCGGTGTGCATTCCCTTGTGTGCAAAGCGCAGCTGTCTCTGAAGAGTGCTGGGCGGACCCAAGCCAGGGCAGCGTTCGGTCAGCTGGGATCCCCAGCTGTCGGCCTGCTCGTGGTTCCCCACAGAGGGCCTGTGGGCAGGCAGCTTGCTGCATGTGCTGTGTCTGCTGCTGTCTTGTATACCTGCCTGCATCTCAGTTCGGATGTGCGTGGGGGGTAAGAGGGTCCTGGGGAGGGGTTTAGGTGTGTTGTGCCCCAGCTCCTGAACAGTGTAAATAGAGTTACAGGCATTTATAAAATCGGGGCTGGCAGTGGGCCTGGTGCTTAGGCCACTGCTTAGGGTGCCCACATCCCTTACCTGAGTGTGCCTGGGTGGAACTCCCGGCTGCACTTGAGATGCCAGCTTCCAGCTAGCGTGCACCCTGGGAGGCAGCTGTGATGGTTGTGGTCACTGGGTCCTTGCCTGCCATGTGGGAGACCAGGACTGGGTGTCCGGCTCCTGCCTTTGCCTCCCCACCCCCACTGTTGTTCAACCTTTCAAATGAAATGATAAGTAGGTACAGATTTTAAGAGAAACATAACCTGTTTTTAGTGCAGACACCCGTGAACATCATCTGGAGCCAGGCGTCCATGGAGCACAGCTAAGGAGGTTCTAAGTACTTGGTACTGAATTGAAGTGCTCCCTAAAGAGAACAGGCAGGAGTGAGGATGGCACAGTCCTACGTCTGGGTTTTAATGTCCACAGAAAACAGACGTAAGTGAAAGAGCCAAAGATGACATTACATGTGTGTCGATGACAGCCATGGAAAGTTGCATATGGTTCCTCTGAGGAGGAGAGACAGTGGGGAGCCGGTAGTGTCTGAGCACTGTGGAATTGTTTTTCTGCTATTGAGGTTGGTGGTTAGAAGTTTCATAAACCGTCAGGTGAGTGTTGGCCTGGATGGAAGGTTGAGGTGTGCGCCCCGGGTGGCCTGGGTGAGGCCGTGGTTAGCGAGGGAGAGCTGGGCACCAGGGTCTGCCTTCGGCTCTACCGGAACAACCGGCTTTCATCTCAAGATGGAGACTCACACAGAGACTCCCACAGCATTGAGTTTGAGTCTGCTTCCCACAGGTGTCATGTTGCCTGGTGTCTCCCTGACCTTCCACACTTCCTCTGGAAGATGGAGAAAGCAGGAAGCTCCCGGGAGGGCGGGAGGCAGTGAGACCATCCAGGTCAGCTGCCAAGCCCTGCACCAGGCCCATGGCATCCACAGAAGAAATGTGGGCTCTTGGTGAAATCCTGCCAGGCACGGGCTTGCACCTGAGTGTGCAGCCCACAGAGCAGGGGTTCCGAGGAACCAGGACTTGAGTCTGCGTGTGTGTGTGTGTTGACAGGTGAAAGAACACACACACACACATACACAATTCCCAAAAGCCCACAATGGGCTCTAACTGGGGCCAAAGCTGAGGGCAGGGCACTGGATCCAGGTCTCCCACGTGGGCGTCAGGGACCCACTTGCTAGCAGGTGGCTGAATCAGGAGCCGAGCTGGGCCCATCTGCGACACGGGCACCTCAACTGCAAGCCATGCTCAGCCTTCACTCCAGGTGTTCTCCTTTCTGAGGTCTGTTTTCGTCTCTGATCCGGCTGAGTGACAATTGCCCGGTGACAGAAAGTGGCCCTGTCCTACCCACTGGGTGTCACTTCCTGTCAGGGGAAGAACGCCCTCGTTGTGTAGGCAGCCCCTCGTTCCTCGGTTTTACTCGTGTGCGTTTCTTCTTCTAGAGAGGGGCCATCAGACGGTCACTCAGAGACGTCCACACTTGATTAGTCGCCTCGGGGAACAGGCCAGGCAGCTGGCGTCTTCACTGGAGAAGTTGTTCACTCCAAAGCAACATTTACCGTAAGCTGTCTGCGTCTAAGAATGGTACTGGGATGGAGGGCCCAGCCTGCTTCCTCCTTGGCCAACCAGTCATTCTCATAAAGTGAATCAACTCTCAGGCCATCGTGCTGAGTGAAATAAACCAGGCCCGGAAAGACGCACAAGCGTGACCTCACTGTCATGTGGAAAGCAAGAGGCTGAGCCCAGGGAAGCAGGGAGGGGAGGAGAGGCCACCAGGGTCTGCAAAGGGCCGAGGAGGCGAGGTCAGGTACAGAGACACCGTGAGGTGGGAGGAATGGGTCCTGGGTTCCACAGGGTGACTTCAGCGGCCAGTAATGCACACTGCAGAATGGCCGGAAGAGGATTTGAGCGTTCCCCTCACCAGGAAGTGGTACGTGTTTGAGGTGATGGGTCTGCTAATTACCCTGCTGTGATCGTCACACCACATACACCCTGAAACGCCTCCCCGTGCTCCGTAAATGTGTATAAGTTTTACAGTTTCTGATGTATGGATAGAAACGCAGGGAGAGAGAAGAATCTTCCATCTACTGGTTCACGCAACAAATGCACACAGCAGCTGGGTCTGGGCCAGGTAGAAGCCAGGAGCCTGGAACTCCATCTAGGTCTCCCACTTGGGTGGCAGGGACCCAGACACTGGAGCCATCGCCCGCTGCCTCCTGGGGTCCACGTGAGCAGGAAGCTGGATCAGAAGTGGAGCAAGGGAGACCAGCATTTGTGGTACAGTGGGTTCAGCCGCTGCCTATGTTGCCAGCCTGCCATGTTGCAGGGCTGGCCTGGTCCTGGGTGCTCTGCTTCTGATCCAGCTCCCTCCTCAAGTGCCTAGGAAGGCAGAGGAAGGTCCAGATACTTGGACCCCTGCCACCCGTGTGGGAGACCCGCGTGGAGTTCCTGGCTCCTGGCTCCTGCCTGATGCAGCCCCTAGCATCACAGCCAGTTGGGGAGTGAACCAGTGGATAGATCTCTTTCCCTCTCTCTCTCTCTGTTACTCTGCTTTTCAAATAAAATAAATCTTGACAAAGAAACGAAAAGAAGTGGAGCTGGGTCTGATACCCAAGTGCTTCAATATGGGATGTGAGCATTCAGACCTGTAACTTCATTGCTGTACCAGAAGCCTGCCCCAGAATGTCAGATGTCAATCAGAATAAAATGAAAACGTTTTCAGTGGTGAACCAATTGTGACCGTGCCTATGGGAGCTGGAAATGCCCATCATTCAGTGTCCTGTCCACCCCCAGCTCTCTCCACCCTCCTGGGTCCTACCCTGCACGGGGGAAGCTGACCTCCTTGGACCGGTCCCTGAGTCCCCTCCCCACAGGAGGCCAGAGGGTGGAAGAAGGGTCTGTGTGTATCTTCCCCTGTCCCTCCATCACTCAGCCTGGCGTGGCAGTGGCTGCCTCCCGCTGTGACATCAGCCTCGCAGACAGCCCCTGTCCCTGGTGCCATGTCCCACTGGGCGCCCTTGGGGTAGTCATGGCTGTTCTGGCTGGCAGTCCCAGGGTACTCTGCCCACACCTCGGCACAGTCACTCACCGGGTGGGGAGTGGGAGGGCATTCTGCCTTCTGGCTAAGACACTGGCTAGGGGAACGTGTCCCCTATTTGAGTCCCCACTCTGGCTCTCTACTCCAGCTTCCTGCTAATGTGCACCCTGGAAGGTAGTGGTGATGGCTTAAGAAGTCAGGTAGAGTTCACAGCTTCCAGCTTTCAACGCCCCCTCCATCCACTGCGGGCGTTTTGTGGGGAGTGAGACAGTAGATAGGGCTCAGTCTGCGCAGGCTCTCTAAGAAATAGCAAACTGTTTTAAAAGTTCATGGGGGCCAGTGCCGTGGCTCACTAGGCTAATCCTCTGCCTGCGGTGCTGGCACCCCGGGTTCTAGTCCCTGTCGGGGTGCCTGATTCTGTCCTGGTTGCTCCTCTTCCAGTCCAGCTCTCTGCTGTGGCCCAGGAGTGCAGTGGAGGATGGCCCAAGTGCTTGGGCCCTGCACCCGCATGGGATAAGCACCTGGTTCCTGGCTTCAGATCAGCGCGGTGCACCAGCCGCAGTGGCCATTGTGGGGTGAACCAACGGCAAAGGAAGACCTTTCTCTCTGTCTCTCTCTCACTGTCCACTTCCCCACTTCATGGGAAGTGCATATTACAGGAGCTGCACACGGAAGCCTCCTTTGAAGTCCCAGCTGATGATCCCACTGCCGTGACCGTCTGAAAAATGGGATGGTGAAGGGGGGCAGTGGGTTCCCGGGGCTGTGGAGAGGGATGTGCAGGTGGAGCAGCAGAGGTTTTTAGGGCAGAAAAACTGTTCTGCCTGCTTCTAGCACCATGGGTGACAGGCACACACACCTGCCCAGGTGCACAGCACCGTGGGTGACAGGCACACACACCTGCCCAGTTGCACAGCACCGTGGGTGACGGGCACACACACCTGCCCAGGTGCACAGCACCGTGGGTGACGAGCACACACACCTGCCCAGCTGACAGCACCGTGGGTGACGAGCACACACACCTGCCCAGCTGCACAGCACCGTGGGTGACGGGCACACCCACCTGCCCAGCTGACAGCACCGTGGGTGACGTGCACACCACCTGCCCAGGTGCACAGCACCGTGGGTGACGGGCACACACGCCTGCCCAGGTGCACGGCACCGTGGATGACGGGCACACCCACCTGCCCAGGTGCACGGCACCGTGGGTGACGGGCGCACCCACCTGCCCGGCTGCACGGCACCGTGGGTGACGGGCGCACCCACCTGCCCGGCTGCACGGCACCGTGGGTGACGGGCGCACACACCTGCCCGGCTGCACGGCACCGTGGGTGACGGGCGCACCCCAGGTGCACAGCACACACAGCTGCAGGGTGAAGCTCATGCTAACCGTGGCCGTGGTAATCTTGGTGTTAGCCTAGCTTCCTCCCTCATGGCAATAGACCACTCTGGTTGGAATATTCTTCTTTGAAAAATTTTTTTAAAAGATTTATTTTTTTAGTTGAAAGATGTACAGAGCGAGCGGGAGAGGCCTTCCATCCACTGGTTCATGCCCAAGATTGGTGCAATGGCCAGGCCTGGGCCAGGGTTAAGCCAGGAGCCATGAGCTTCATCTGGGTCTCCCATGTGGGTGCAGGGCGCCAACACGTGGGCCGATTGATGCTTTTTTTCCCAGGCCGTTAGCAGGGAGCTGGCGCAGCTGGGACTTGAATGGGCGCCCATATGGGATGCCAGTGTTGTGAGTGGCAGCTTTATCTGCTGTGCTACAGCACTTGGTGCTGGGGGTGCTCTTGACCAGGGAGGTGGTTTGTGTGGGGGAGCAGATATGCAGAACTCTGTACTTTCCCCTCTGTTTTGCTGTGAGCCTCACCATGAAAAACCAAGTCCGTTAATTAGAAGTCCTCGCTGCACGACGACCACAGAGGGGGAGACAGGCCCGGCCCACAGAACAAGCTGGCCGGCGGCCGTGTCAGGTGGTGGGAAGTTTCCCTGTGCCACAGAGACCTGAGAAGGAGGTGGCTTCCACAGGAGCGGGGTGAAGGCCTGCCTGCACTTGTCCCTGCAGTGCTGCCGATTACTGTGCGGCCCTGTTGTCCCTGGGGTGAGATGAGCGGCTGCGTGAGTGGCTGCATCCTGGTCAGGGCTGCAGGCAGGGCAGGGCTCGGTCGGAGAGGAAGCAGGTACCAGGAAAATGAAGTCTCGCCTGAGACTTGCAGGCTGCCATGACGGTGAGAGGTTTTAGGAAGTGTTGGAAGTTGCTCACGTCTTCTGGGTGCTCTGCCCCACGCTAAGAGTGCCATTGAGGGATTCCCCCAACTCACACTACAGGCCTGCCCCGCACTACGCACTCCTGCTTCGCAGGACAAGAGGCCGCTGGCGAGTGAGGGCCAGATGTCCGATCTGAGCTCACCACCGTGAGCACATTTTGCTGTCCACCATGGTGAATTTTAATGGATCTTTGCTTTTCCAAGTAGATGATAGCAGATGAGGGCAGGAATGTGTCTAATTCCTCTTTTTTTTTTTTTTTTTTTTTTTTTGACAGGCAGAGTGGACAGTGAGAGAGAGAGACAGAGAGAAAGGTCTTCCTTTGCCATTGGTTCACCCTCCAATGGCCGCCGCGGCCGGCGCGCTGCGGCCGGCGCACCGTGCTGATCCCGTGGCAGGAGCCAAGAGCCAGGTGCTTTTCCTGGTCTCCCATGGGGTGCAGGGCCCAAGCACCTGGGCCATCCTCCACTGTACTCCCTGGCCACAGCAGAGAGCTGGCCTGGAAGAGGGGCAACCGGGACAGAATCCGGCGCCCCAACCGGGACTAGAACCCGGTGTGCTGGCGCCGCTAGACGGAGGATTAGCCTAGTGAGCCGCGGCGCCGGCTAATTCCTCTTTTGAAAGTTCTTGGGAATAATCACCCAAATCAAGATGTTTAGAATATGTAGCTTCAAAGAGTCTCCCCTTGAGCTCCCTCTGAGTCAAAATGTCCCAAAGATAAGCACTGGTCTTGTTTCTGTCACCATGGAGCAGTTTTTCCTCTTCTTGAATGTCATATAAATGGACTCATACAAACAAATGAACGATTCCTTGCATGCCTGGGCACACAACCATCTGCATTTAGCTAATATACTCAGTAGTGTTAAGTAAATGTTCAAGGAATGCTTAAAGGACTGTGGCTACTGATGGCATGCAAAGCTATTCATAAATATAAATCCATATTTCAATCTGTGAATATATAATATAAATATGAAGATGATTAAAAAAACACCGTGGATGGGCAGGCATTGTGGTGCGCTGGTTGAGCCACCACTTGGGACATGCCCCATCAGAGTTTGGTTCAAGTACTGACTGCCAGCTTCCAATTCAGCTTTCTGCTAGGTACCTGGGAGGCCTCAGGATGATGGCCCACGTGCTTGGGTTCCTGCCACTCCAAGGGAGACACAGGTGGAGTTCCTGGCTCCTGGCTTCAGCCCGGCTCAGCCCTGCTCTTGCATGTGGGGAGTGAACCTGCAGATGAAAGACTTTCCTCTGTCTCTTCTTGTCATTCTACCTTTCATATAAATAAATCAATAAAGCTTTTGTTTTTTTTTTGCAAAAAGTTGTTGAAAAATGGAATTAAAAGGTGAGTTTATTTGGTGCAGAAAAACTTTGAAATCCCTGAACAGTGTTTTCATAGTATGCATCTTCCTCGGGCTTTTTGAAGACTCCTCATACATGTGCATGTGTATGCACGTGCGTGTTTATGCAACATGTGTGTGCACACGTGTGTGTGTTTGTGTCTGTGAAAAGCTACCCAGTGGTCTCTCTCCATGGTAGCACCCATCACACTGCATTTCAGTCTGCAGCCATAATGACCTCAGGAGCACAGTGTTCGTTCTCCTGACCTGGCACATATTTAAAATTCATGGGATATTTGCAGAATCAATGAATAGAGCCTTCTTATTTACTTACTTTTAGTTTTTTGAAAGGCAGAGTCAGAGATGCAGAGACAGAGCTCATCCGTCTTCTGGTTCATCCCCCAGATGCCCACACCCAGTGCCCCAGCTGGCTGTCTTCTGATTGGCCGGCACCTGTGCTGCACCCACAGTTAGAAATCTCGGGTCATCCCTGTGGTGAGTGACTCACTTACGGCCATGATGACAACAGCTGTTGGAGCATTAGGACCCCTCCTGGTGGGAGCTGAGACTGCCAGGGTCCTGCGGTCCCCCCAGGATTCCTGATGTACCCAGCTAGAGAGAGTGCAACAAGTGCGTGCCAGATGCCCTTCTCATGCTGACGTGTGGGGCTGTGAGCAGGTTCTAACTCAATTTCAGAAATGCAGACGTAAAATCGCTTCTAACTCACATCATGAGGCAATTCGTATTGGTTAAGCAAGCATAAGGAATTGCTATTTTTATTGTTATTAAATTACTGTGTATGCCATAGAAAGGTTGCTCTGCTCCAAAAACAGATCATCAGCAACGTGGCTTTTTCCACAGGAAGTAGAAACTCCAAGGGCTTTTTCTCTTCTTTTGATTTTCTTCACCGCTGTCCCAAGAACCTCGGACAGTACCTGGCACGTGCTGTGTACTTGATAAATGTTTGTTAACTCAAGCTCCAACTGCAAGATTCTGAGGTCATTGCTTAGTTTCAGGGGGATAAGAAGAAACTACCAGGAGACGGCACATCCATTTCTACATGGAAACACCCAGAATCTCTGACCCTTTGAACAATGAGAACCTGTGTAGCAGCTTAAAGATCAGTGGCTTCAGTTTGCAGTCTGTACCGCTGGAGCAAACGGCACTTCACTGGTTCATAAAGCAGGAGCACCGCGGGGGGCTGTCGGGGGACTACAGGTGTCCGCATGGCTCTCGTGCTGCTCGGTGGACCTCTGTGAACCCAGCAGGGGTCTCCAGAGCTGTGTGCATCGGGCAGAGCCTTCTCTCTGCATCTTCTGTGGTCAGGTTGACTCTTGGTTTCACTTGTTTTGCATTGTCTCTGCCTCTCTGAGCCTCATTATAGTCCCTTAAACATCCATTCCCAGCTGTGTATTTTTTCCTTTGTCTCTTGGAGCCCACAACAGCCAAGCCCTCAGAGCAGAACACCCAGAGACAGCTGGCAGGCAGCTTGAACGTGGCAGGTTTTTTTTTTTTTTAATTCATTTATTTATTTGAAAGGCAGAGTTACAGAGAGGCAGAGGCAGAGGGAGGGATAGAGTGGTCTTCCATCCTCTGGTTCGCTCCACAGATGGCCGCAGTGGTTGGAGCTGTGCCAATCCAAAGCCAGGAGCTGGGAGCTTTCTCTGGGTTTCTCATGCAGGTGCAGCAGCCCAAGCACTTGGGCCATCTTCCAGTGCTTTCCCAGGCCGTAGCAGAGCTGGATCGGAAGTAGAGCATCTGGGAATCGAACTGGAGCCCATATGGGATGCCAGAACTTCAGGTGGCAGCTTCACCCGCTGCACCACAGCGCTGGACCCACACGGCAGGTTTTAGTTGCTTTAGGACAACCACATTAAATTAAAACAAACAAAATGCAACTCCTCTCATGGCAAACCCGTGTGCATCTTAATTAGTGATAGCTGATTGTGACAGCAACAGTTGTGATTTCTTGAGGACCTACTGAGTGCTAACCAGGTGCTTTGCATATAGAGATTAACTTTGCGTGTTGATAACAGAGAAACTGAGGTTTATAGAGACTGTTTTGGTCCATGGAATGAGGCAGAATCATAAATCCTGACACAAGTGTGCTTACACTATTGCCAGTGCCAAAGGGCGACTTTCAGGGTAGCACGTTGTACTTTGCGTCACTTTAGAAAACCCCCTTAACAGAAAATACATATAAACACATGTGCATGCACTCAGACAACATGTTTGTAAACCAACGCAAAATCCTACAGAAAACTGTGACTGGGGGCAGCTGCTCGGCCACCGGGGACACCCACATCCGTATCAGAGTGCCTGGGCTGAAGGCTGGGCTCAGCTCCCAGTGCCTAGGAACATACACCCTGGGAGGCAGCAGATGATGGCTCTAGGACCTGGATTCCTGCCCCCCAGGAAGACCCGGATGGAGGTCCTTGCTTCTGGCTTTGACCTGGCCCAGGCCCGCCTGTTGCAGGCATTTAGGGCATGAGCCAGAAGAGAGGAGATGTGTGCGTCTCTGTCTCTGGCTGTTTGCCTGTAATAATGACAATAAGTGTTTGAAATGGAAAATTGAACTGCAACAGTGGGTGAGTTAGCTGGCTTCCTGGGCCCTGGCTGGCATCTGGAACTCGGGAGTATTCCATCCCTCTCCAGATAGGCGGGGTGAGGGCTCTAGGACGTGGACTGGAGTGCTCAGCCCAGAGACTCGCGCAAATGAGAGCCTGATCCAGGTGCCCGATCCTAGTGCCGCCGCCGCCGAGGAAGGACAATGCACGGGTCACCCACAGCCATTGCCGCGGGGGCAGCTGTGCTGAGGGTGGCGCTGGCTACCTGCCTTAGGCCCATCTGGGCTGTTCCCAGCCTCCACACCCATCAGGCTCTTCAGTTACACCGAGGATATAAGCTGCTTTAAACAAAAAAATTTTTTTTAATTTTTATTTATTTGTTTGAAAGGCAGAATTACAGAGAGGCAAGGGCAGAGAGAGGTCTTCCATTCACTGATTCACTCCCCAGATGGCCGCAATGACCAGAGCTGAGCCCATCTGAAGGCAGGAGCCAGGAGCTTTTTCCAGGTCCTCCATGTGTATGCAGGGACCCAAAGACTTGGGTCATCTTCTGCTGCTTTCCCAGGTGCATCAGCAGAGAGCTGGATCAGAAGAGGAGCAGCCAGGACTCGAACCAGTGCCCATACAGGATGCCAGTGCTGCAGGGGAGGCTTAGTCCACTGTGCCACAATGCAGGTCTTTTTTTTTTTTTAATGGAATGTGTGTATTATCTTTTTGATCCTTTCTTTCCTTCCTTCTTTGATTTTCTTTTCTCTCAGATTTGTTTATTTGAAAGGTGGAGTCAGAGAGGGAGCAAGTAGGCTTCCATCGACTTGGTCACTTGGATATGAGGTGGGGGCTGGGCCTGAGGAACCCAGGGCCTGGGGCTCCATGCCAGTTTCCCACATGGGTGGCAGGAATCCAGGGACTGGGGCCATTCCTGGGCGCAGCAGCAAGGAGCTGGATGGGAAGTGGGCCAGCCTGATATAAATGGCTTTATAAAAATACCTCTCAGGCCAGCACTTATGTCTGGAATGTGAGTATCTTCCGCTGCAGGCGGGCTTCCATGCCTCAGATTATTTTAGGCCACAGCTCAGTGGGAGGTGCGGCGCCATTCTCATGACTTCTGTGGCCTGCCCTGTGCACCTGCACAGGGGGTTTTTATGCTAATGGCTTTGAAGCTGACTTGGCAGCAGATTAAACTCTGCAGGGTCCTCCACATGCTGCCCGGGTCCGGCCTCCCCCTGCGGGCACAGTGAGTGGGGTTTCATCTGCTGCGGGATGGGGTGGGGTGGGGGGACTCACCTGCAGGCAGGCTCACCTGCTGGCGGACTCCCTGTGACACCTTCGGGGGGATGGGCGGATGAGCTGTTAGATCACCCCTTTCCAGACCTGCCTCTGGGTTCTGCCGTCAAAGGTCACTTTAGGGCTTCAACAAAATACAGGCAAACGTTGTCCAAGGAGAAGATATGAAAGGCAGAGGGTGCGGGCAGTGGGGGTGGGCGGGCAGGGCGGCCTGGTTGCAGGAGACCTCTGCCTGCGTGCTGCGGGGGGAGGGTGTGCATGTTGCCCGCAGTTCCCGGCACGGCTGCTGTGCCTGGCGTTGTCCCCTTGTCACAGACCCTGGGCAGGAAACTACAGGAAAGCCAGCATCTGAAAGGGCTCTGGGGAGGCGTCCAGCCCTCCCCCTCCCCCCACGCTGCATGATTTGGGGTAGGGAGCTCTTGTCTGCAGGCTAAACCCAGGGAGAGAGCTTTCCCCTGGACCCTGGGAGGCTGGGGGCCCAGGGGACTGCTGCCTGAGACATCTGAGCGTGTGTGCCCAGCTTCAGGCCGAGTCACAGGAAGGGGACCTGCTCATCAGATGCTGGGCTCTGGAAGGGCATTCTCTGGGGGCCAGCAGAGGGCTGGCCATACCTGTGGGCACCAGGAGAGGTAGACACTGCCACTCCCACTGGAGGGAAGCAGCTGAGCCCAGGCAAGACGTGGGAGGAGAAAGTGGCTTGGCCCCACCACACACACCGTGCCAGCCTCCCTGACTGGCCGCCTAGTCCTTAGACCCCCCCCCCCTTCCAGCGGTGTCCACCATCTCCGAGGAGACCTGAGGTGTCTCCCGGCATCGGAGGTCTCTATCCTTGGCTGGGCGTGCTTCTCTTTTGTTTCACTTTGCTTTTGATTTTTCTTTATTA